TTGATATGTTTCGCTTCGCTTCTGACTTGGTGTTTCGACATGACAGAGGTGCTTAAGTTACTTGTTTCCAACACCCCCCTTCGCTTCTAGAGTGTCGCTGCCGGTGACATGGCTCTGTCCAGTCAGCAGCATGCAGTACTCAAACTTCTGCTTTCCGAGCTTCTTGGTCAAGTAATCAGCTGCCATCTCGGTCGTGGGGCAGTAGGATAATTCGAGTCTCCCCTTCTCGATCTCGTCTTTCACGAAGAAATATCGCAGGGCAATATGCTTCGTCCTGTTCGCGAATCCGTTTTTGTTGGCTATGCGAATTGCCGACTGGTTGTCGCAGAACAGAGTGAAGCTGGGTAACTGAGCCAGCTTCGCTTCCTCCAAGAGTTCGCGAAGGTACAATCCTTCCTTGGTGGCTGAGCAGAGTGCGATATATTCAGCTTCAACTGAGGAGAGAGCGATTAATTCCTGCTTACTCGACTGCCACGAGATAGTTCCGATAGGCTCGAGGCGGTAGATGTAGCCTGTGCGCGAGCGCCGGTTGTCAGAATCTCCGGCGTGGTCGGCGTCGACGTAGCTGATTAACTTAGGCGTTGTAGTTCCGTTCTTGTAGTAGGTCAAGCCGATCGTTGGAGTGCTAACGAGGTAGTGAAGAGCGCGGTCGAGCTCCGCCATGTGTTCAGCTTCAGGCCTTTTAAGGTAGGTGGCGAGTTGACTTGCAGAGTATGATAGGTCCGGGCGGCAGGTGACAGCCTCGAAGAGAAGGCATCCAAGCTTCCTTTGGTAGTCGCGTATCCCGGCAGGCTTGAGTGGAGTGGAGCCTTCCTTGTGATTTCCTGCCGTGTAGTGGTATGGCGTGGAGATGGTAGTTGGTGTGAGCGCGAAGCGTTTGGCGATGGTGTCGGCGTATTTCGCGGCGTTGGGGGTAAATCGCGTTATCTTCTTCCTGAATGTTGAGGCCGAGGTACTGCGTGACGGTAGATGAGACTGTGAGCGTGAGATCTTTCTGTAGCTCCACTTCGAGCCAGGTAGTGACGTTGTCGGTCGACCCGATGTAGAGTAGATCGTCTACGTAGACTATTAGTAGGATGTAGTCGGTGCCTTTTGTAAGCCGATACATCCCTTGGTCGTGAGGTAGCTGGCGGAATCCTATGCGGATAAGTCTTGCGTGCAGGTACTGTTGCCACAGCCTCGGGGCTTGTTTGATGCCGTAGAGTGACTTCAACAGTTGACAGACGTGATTAGGTTTTCCGTTGGAGCCATGTGGTAGTTCGACGAAAATTTCTGCGTCGACAGGTGCGTAGAGGAATGCATTGGCGACGTCAATTTGCCGTAGCTTTTTCTTCTTCATGGCGGCGATTGCGAGGAGAATTCGCAGCGAGGTGTGTCGGCTGACCGGGGCGAATGTCTCAGTGAAGTCGCGTCCGTACTCTTGGTCGAAGCCGCGTACAACCCATCGCGCTTTAAACTTGTCGATGGTGCCGTCTGCCTTTGTCTTCACACGGAAGACCCATTTCCCGGTGAGTACTGTCTTATTTCGTGCCACGCCGAACGGAACAACTTTCCAGGTGTTCCGTTCTTCCTGTGCTTTTAGCTCCTTGTCCATGGCTTCGCGCCATTTTTCCTTATGCTCCCCCCCTAGAGCCTGCTGAACTGTGACAGGCTCCTTCAGAATCTCCGTGCCATGGACCGCGGTGACGAGGCCGAGTATCTGGAGGCCACTCTGTATGTAGCGGGGGAGAGTTATGTCCGCGGGATAAGCTGCTTTGTCACCTGCTTCTGGGTCAGGTATGAAGTTGGGCCCTATGCGTTCTGCTTCGTTGGTGTTGACTTATGCAGGTGTAACGTAACCGTTGTCAGCGAAGTGGTAAAATACTTCGGCGTTGGCGCTTTCGCGAGGATTTTCGTCATCCATTGGGACGTTGACGGAGCAGTAAGGGAGAGGTCCGGCTTCCTCTGAGGCTTCATCCACGTTCTGCTCGCCCCAGTCAGCTTCGTCTGCTGCCGAGGCGAAGGCTCGGTCACCACGGAAGCCGCCTGTGGGGTCCCGATCTTCTTCCAGGTTGGCAAGGTACGTCGGAAAGGTGAGTCGTTCCTAGAAAATGACATCACGTGCTGCTACTGTTTCCTTGGAGTGGACGTCAAAAATCTTCCACGCGATGTAACTTCTTTCGATGCCTAGGTGTAGTCCCCACTGTGTGCGGTGGGAAAATCGGCCGGCTCGTGCAGATGGGGGTCGGTACTGTACCATGCAGCCGAAAACTCTTAACATTTTTGTGCTGCCGTGTTTTCCTGTCCACAGCAGGTGCGGTGATGCGTTGTTCGGGAGCGATGATGACGAGAGCAAGTTGTGCAGCATGACAGTGTGGTCCATTGCTTCGGGCCACTGGTGGTTGGGCAGTCGCATGCCTCGTAGCAGCTTGCGCATGGTGTTCTGGAGAGTCCTGTTCATCCTTTCTGCTACGCCTTGCTGCTGGTGAGCGTATGGAAGAGAGATGAGCCTCTTGATTCCTCTTTCTGCCAAGTACTGCTTGAACCTCTGTGAGGTGTATTCTCCTCCTCCGTCTGACTGGAAGCTTTTTAGCTTCACGCCCGATTCTCGTTCTGCTACTGGGAGCCAAGCGACGAAGGCCTCGAAGGCCATGTCCCTGCTCAGAAGGTTAAGGTGCCAAACTTAACGCGTAGCAGCATCAATGAACGTGATGGTATAGTTGTATGCTCCTTGTCCAGGTTCGCGATTGTACAGGATGTTGCTGTACACTTTCTCAAGTGGTGCGTAAGCTAGTGCGCTGGGGTTGTGGTGAGAAGCGAATGGCCGATGTGGTAAGTCAGCTTCGGGGCAGGTAAAGCATGTTCCACGAGCTCGTCCAAGTTCGCTTCCGTCGGTTAGAAGCAGTGAATCTTTGTCGAGCGCGCCTGCTCTGATTGTGTTGTTTAACACCGTGTTGCTTGGATGTCCCATTTGTGCGTGCCAGATGTCTTCGCCAGCTCGATGTTCGGGTGAGCGACGGTATAAGTCGGAGTTGGAGTAGAAGCTAGCGGTGAAGTTTGCGCTTCGATGTACTTCTCGTGGTGTTGGGTTCTGTTGCTGCGCAGGAGTCGGTGGAGTGTCGTCGACGATTGGAGCCGGTGCAGTTGAAGGACCAGCGATTGGTGTCGATGTTGCCGCTGCTGCTGCCGTTGTTTCTGCTGCTGCCGATGTTGTCTCTGCTGCTGCCAATGTTGTCTCTGCTGCTGCCGGTGTTGTCTCTGCTGCTGCCGAGTGTTGAATCGTTGCTAATGCTCTTGTTCGTTCTTCCTCGGGAATGGTGTGTGAGTACCAGAAGCCTTCGGGACTGAAGTTGGGGTCGAGATCCGGTGGATGTGTCCAGGAGGTGAAGGTGACAATCCCGTCGCTGTCAGCGATGCCAAGATCTGGGACAAAGTCGAGGACGAAGACGTTATTCTTCAGGACTGCCTTGCCGATGTAGAGACCTCCTCTCCCGTGGTACAACTTGAATTCCTGTGTTGTGCTATCTGCTTCGAGGTGGATGCCTTTCGCCATCAGTTGACTGACACTCAGTAAGTTGTAGTCGAATCCCTCCGCAATAAATACTTTTGACATTTGCAGCATCACGTTTGTCTCTCGTGACTGAAGTTGCACCACACCTTGTCGTCGTGTGCGCTGATTCTGGTTGTTGGCGACGGTGATGACGACTTCGCGTTGAAGTTGGTGTTCACGCTGAACAAATCGTCCTGAAGAGCACATGTGCTGTCCGCAGCAACTGTCCAAGAACCACGTATCTTTCTCGGACGGCTCGCTTTGAGCGATGGCTGCATACGTTGGATTTGGTTGAAGTGACTCGTGGTGAGGCGTGCTGTTGTCGAGTTGCTCTTCCGGTGAGTAATGCGGAGGTGACTTTGTGATGCAGGAGTCGGTTAGCCGTGCCATGCAACTGACGATGTTTCTTGTTCCTTGCGCAGGTTGTCCCGTCGATGTTGTTGAGGCTTGTACTGCAGTGGTCGGATTTGCTTGTGTTGAGGCAACTTGACTGCTTGAAGGGCGAAGCGGCCGCTGCGTTGGCGTTGACTACTGCCGGTTTGGGCAGTGTGTACGGGGGTGACCTCACGTCTTACAAAGGTGACAGAACGGAGGTACTGGTTTCGGTTGGTGCCGATTGTTGTTGTTGTAGCGCCGTTGAGTGTGGAATGCGAATTCGGGCACTAATGCCTTCCTCTTGTGTCGTTCTTCTTGCAAGTCCATATCTTGCTGCTCAGCGTGGATCTTGGCGCAGAGTGTTGCTTCTGATATTTTTCCGTGAACTCGAAGTATGGCGCGAGTGGAGCGCCACTGAGGACCAAGGCCGCCGATGATGACTGTGACGAAGGCGTCTTATGAAATCGACCCTCCGCATCGAAGGAGTTTGTCGTGCAGTTCGCGACAGCGGCTGATATACGCCATCCCCTTTTCGCCTGGTTTCATTTCGACTGTTGTCAGTTGCGCCATTAACCGACTTTGATTGACGCTGTCTGTTGCTTGATACAGGTTCTTCAGGTGGTTGTACAAAGGCTGATTTTTTAGCCTTTTCCCAAAAAGCTTGGTGATTTTCTAATGGTTTTTAGTGAAAAATGTCATTTTTGGCTGATTTTTAGCATACATTTGCCAGTGAACTCTGATTTTCCAGCCTACCCCAAGACCAATCTAGGGGCCTGACGTTGACAATAACAGCCATTCTCTATAAGCTTGGGCGCATTAACTTCACCAATGTAATGGAGAGAACCTAATGAGCTCTAGATGATGGTTCTGGCCTCCATTCAACCCCGGCTTGCCATCCTTGAGAGCACCGTCAAGCACACCCCTCCCATCTCCATTCACCATCAAGCACACCCCTCCCATCTCCATTCACCATCAAGCACACCCCTCCCATCTCCATTCACCGTCAAGCACACCCCTCCCATCTCCATTCACCGTCAAGCACACCCCTCCCATCTCCATTCACCGTCAAGCACACCCCTCCCATCTCCATTCACCGTCAAGCACACCCCTCCCATCTCCATTCACCGTCAAGCACACCCCTCCCATCTCCATTGCTCAGTGCAACTCCACTTGCACCTTCCCCAGCCTCCCGTTGACCCTGCGCCCCACCCATGCCTGCCTCTGTGTGCTGGGCGGGTGTGCTGCAGTGGGAGAGGCGGCTGCCGTGGGGCGTGGGGGGCGCGGGGGACGACCCCACGTGGTCGCATGAGGGCAGGGCGGGCAGGTGGAGGGGCGGCAGCAGGAGCGGTGGCAGGGACAGGGGGGGCAGATGCAGTGAGGGAGGGGTGGAGGGGGACGTGTGAGAGGCGACGTGTGAGTGAGGGTGGAGCGAGGGCGAGTGGAGGGAGGAGTCCAGGCCGATGAGGTGGAGGGGGGAGGGAGGCGACGCAATCAGCTGCCACTCGCCACTGCCACTGCCACTGCCGCTGCCACCTGTGCAGTCGCCCCACTCATGCAATCCCGGTGACAGGTGGCCATGAGAGGGTGGGTGCGCCGCCAGGCTGGGCAGCGAGCTGCCAGCGTTGCCACCAGCCGCAGCCGGAGGATGCTGCGCCCCTCCTGTCACCTGCTCTCCTCTGTGCCCCTCGCCATGCCCCTCGCCATGCCCCTCGCCATGCCCCTCGCCATGCCCCTCGCCATGTCCCTCGCCATGCCCCTCGCCATGCCCCTCGCCATGCCCCTCGCCATGCCCCTCGCCATGCCCCCGGTGTGCCCTGCAGCTCTGCCATCCACTGCTCCATGCCGCACATGCCGTGAGCCACAAGGTCGGCACTGCCACGGGTGGTGTGAGCGGCAAGAGGGCGCTGACTGGCATGCGCAGTGCACGGGGTGTGGAGGCCATGAGAGCCGTGCCGAGCATGTGCGGCCTCAGCTGCAGCCGCAGCCTCAGGCTCCGCCTCCATGGCAGCGTGCACGCTAGCACGACCGGCTGCTTTCATGCCGTTGCCCCCCTGCCCTCCTCCAAAATTCCCTCCTTCCTTCTCAGTATGCCACTGCGGATGACCGTCACCATGCATGCTAACATGCATGTCTGCATGCCATTGCACCACCTCCTCATCCCACTCGCCTTCCTTCATGCCCTCCCCTTTGTTCATGCTCTCCCCACTTGGCCCCACTCTTCCTCCTCCTCCTCCTCCTCCTCCTCCTCCTCCTCCTCCTCCTCCTCCTCCTCCTCCTCCTCCTCCTCCTCCTCCTCCTCCTCCTCCTCCTCCTCCGTGTGTCACAGCATATCCTGCAAGCACACTCACGTTCCCTGCTGCCCGCTGCTGCTCTGCGCTGTCCCCTTGCATCTCGCAGCCGTACCGAGCCACACTGCTTGACAAGGGCCGTGGGGGCAGCATGAAAGTGGGGTGGGATGGCACGGGCATGAGAGAGGGTGACGGCTGCAGTGCAGCATTGGGATGGGCCCAAGCAGCCTCACGAACAGACGCAGAATCCTGCTGCTGCTGCTGCATGCGAGACGGCTGTGCCCCTTGCCCAACACGTGTCTCCCACCTTTCAGGGTGCTCGCGCGCTCGCTTCCACTCACCACCTTGCATGCCATCTTTCCCCTCTCCTCCCCCCGCCTCTCCCCCTCTCACCACCTCCATGCCTTGACGCTCCTCTCCTGCCTCCCACGCCCTCACCTCCCCGCACACTTCCCCCATTGCCCCCTGCTTTACTATCTCCTCCCCTCTATCCCCTTCCCTCACGCCTCCCCCTGCCCACCTGCCCTCTCCCCCCATCTGCCCCTTCCTTGTCCTGGCTTTTGATTTGCTCCGCATTGCCTCCCCACCTGCCTTCGCCATACCCGCCTCGCCTGCCCCCGCCTCACCCCCACTGTGCTTCGCCCTCTTCCCCCGGCCCCCATGCCTCCCCCGCCCCCTCCCTCCGCCTCTACCGGCCGCGCCCTGCCGCTTCCTCCCCCCGCCACCACCAGGCTGCTCGGAGTGTGCGTCAGCCGATGCGGCTTGCGGGGTGGAATGGGCCGACACACTGCATGAAGCTGCTGCTGCTGCCACTGCTGATGGTAGCAGGGAGCCATCGCCACTGCCGCCACCAGGGTCAGTGCCTGGGGCTGAGGTACCGCCAGGTGTCAGACACCCATTGGAAGCAGGGAGGGAGGGCAGCAGAAATGCGGACGAAGGGCGTGCCAGAGAGGGCGGTGGCGGTGTGGCGGTGGAGCGAGGAGGAGAAGTGGACGAGTGGCGAGGCGGGGCGAGGAGGATGGACCTCAGCTGCAGGCAGAGGGCGGGGAGAGGACGTAAGGAAGGCTTGGGTGTGCGGTGCAGGTGGGGCAGGGGAGTGTGGAGTAAGCAGCGTAAGCAAGGACATGTGAGGCCAAAGAGATGTGAAAATGTGGGATTAGATGGGATGGCGGTGCACCTCATGAGGTGGATACATGCATGCTGTGTGGTGTGGTGGGGCATGGTGGTGACGGTGAGCTGCCTGCACTGGCGGCCATGGCTGGCAGGCCAGCCCGGAAAGGGCAGTGGGACTCACAGCAGGGGGGGCAGTGGGACTCACAGCAGGGGGGGCAGTGGGACTCACAGCAGGGGGGGCAGTGGGACTCACAGCAGGGGGGGCAGTGGGACTCACAGCAGGGGGGGCAGTGGGACTCACAGCAGGTGGGGCAGTGGGACTCACAGCAGGGGGGGCAGTGGGACTCACAGCAGGGGGGGCAGTGGGACTCACAGCAGGGGGGGCAGTGGGACTCACAGCAGGGGGGGCAGTGGGACTCACAGCAGGCGGGGCGAGCAGCACACCGGAGAGCGTGTGGGCGCCGACTTGCGCTGCGAGCGTGACACCGCCGTCAAACACCCCGTCCACGCGCACTGCCAGTGATGCCCCGGGCTGGCCAGCACAGCAGAGGAGAGGACAGGGCAAGTGGCAGTGGTGGAAGGCCGTGAGCACAGGAGGGCAGCACAGGAGCGAGTGGGATGGTGGAGGTGCACTATCTGCCATGGGATGGTGGAGGTGCACTATCTGCCATGGGATGGTGGAGGTGCACTATCTGCCATGGGATGGTGGAGGTGCACTATCTGCCATGGGATGGTGGAGGTGCACTATCTGCCATGGGATGGTGGAGGTGCACTATCTGCCATGGGATGGTGGAGGTGCACTATCTGCCATGGGATGGTGGAGGTGCACTATCTGCCATGGGATGGTGGAGGTGCACTATCTGCCATCCATCCAACGGCCACGCCATTGAGTGGAACGCAAGGGCAGGCAGAGGCTCACAGGGCAGGCAGAGGCTCACAGGGCAGGCAGAGGCTCACAGGGCAGGCAGAGGCTCACAGGGCAGGCAGAGGCTCACAGGGCAGGCAGAGGCTCACAGGGCAGGCAGAGGCTCACAGGGCAGGCAGAGGCTCACAGGGCAGCGCACGACACGGCCGATGCCGAGGTGCAGCAGGTGCGCGTGGGCAGTGCCGCCCTCTCCGCCCTGCACCCCGCCACCCCCCCCTCCCATCCCCGCCTCCATCGCCTCCCCGCCACCTCCGCCTCCCTCCCCACCACCCTTGCATGCCTCACCCCTGCCATCCCCCCTCGCCCCCTCCCCTCCCCTGGGATGCTTTGCTGCGCTGTGCGATTGGGCATGGCCCACGGGGCGGGCGTGCAGCGCAATGAGGGGCCGCGCTGCCAGGGACGACGGCACGGCGAGGTGCTGCCTGGGAGGGGCGGCCTCTGACACACGGGGCTGCTGCGGGGCAGAGGAGGGTGTGGCTTGGAGGGCAGGCAGCATGGAGAGAGGGAGAGTGGCAGGAATGACAGCAGCGGCATCTGCAGCACCAAGAACATTCCCTTGCTGCCATGTCATGCCACACGGCTGCTGCCATGCAGGCAGCGACACATGCCCCTCGTGAGCAGCAGCAGAAGGACAGGCAGCGGGCAGAGTTCCATGCGCCATGTCATGGTGGAATGGTGACAACTCCACCGCGCCCCTCCCTGCCGCCGCGCTCATCCCGCGCACCTCACTGCCCCGCGCCATGCCTCCACTGGCTGCTCGTTTCGGCTGCAGCTTGGGCCGACTGCCACCACTCAAGGTGGCGCCACCTATTGTGCCTGCACCTTCTCTTCCCATGTCTGCCTCCGCTGCCCCCTCCTCTTCACCACCATCCCCATCCGTACCAGGACTGTCTACCACCGTACTGCCTGTTCTCTTCGCTTCACCCCCGTCCACCTCCCCTCCTCCGCCGGCGTGCCGGGCTTGCAGTGCTGCGCTCACCATGCGCTCGCCCGCCTCCGACACCACGTAGCGCCGCGGCCGCCCCCTCGCCCTTCCCTGCTGCCCCCTCTCTGCTGCTGCACCTCGCGCTTGTGCTGCTTGGTCGATGCTCTGCCCACCCCTTGAGATGGAGGCAGGAATCAGGTGCAGAAGGGAGGTACCGCGGATGGTGGCTGCTGGATGTGACGTGCAGGGCGCATCTGAAGGCGGGAGGTTAGGAAGCGTAACAGGAGAGGATGGGTGGGGTTGGGGGGAGAGATGAAAGGAGCAGGGGTGAGTGAGGGCGGATGGGTTTCATGGATGGGCGGATGGGTTCCATGGATGGGCGGATGGGTTCCATGGATGGGCGGATGGGTTCCATGGATGGGCGGATGGGTTCCATGGATGGGCGGATGGGTTCCATGGATGGGCGGATGGGTTTCATGGATAGCCGGATGGGTTTCATTACATGGATGGGCGGATGGGTTTCATGGATGGGAGACGGAGAGCCTGGTGATGGCGGGCGGACACATGCGAGGACAGATGCGACAGCAGGCGCTGCGAGTGCACAAGGTGCTGTCAAGTCAAGTCATCTGCCTGCAGCGGTACGACTCGAAATGCCCAAGTGGGAAACCTGGGAATGACAACACAAGAGGATGTGTGCGGCTTGGCTTTGTGAAGGCTTTCAGCTGAACGTAAGTACTAAGTGGGCAAGCGATGGAAAGCAAGTGCTGATGAATGAAGCAGCACAGACTTGGACACACGACACGTGCACATCCATGACAATAATGTGAGGCAACACACATCCATCCTTTTGAGGCGCCTCATAATGTGAGGCAACACACATCCATCCTTTTGAGGCGCCTCATAATGTGAGGCAACACACATCCATCCTTTTGAGGCGCCTCATAATGTGAGGCAACACACATCCATCCTTTTGAGGCGCCTCATAATGTGAGGCAACACACATCCATCCTTTTGAGGCGCCTCATAATGTGAGGCAACACACATCCATCCTTTTGAGGCGCCTCATAATGTGAGGCAACACACATCCATCCTTTTGAGGCGCCTCATAATGTGAGGCAACACACATCCATCCTTTTGAGGCGCCTCATAATGTGAGGCAACACACATCCATCCTTTTGAGGCGCCTCATAATGTGAGGCAACACACATCCATCCTTTTGAGGCGCCTCATAATGTGAGGCAACACACATCCATCCTTTTGAGGCGCCTCATAATGTGAGGCAACACACATCCATCCTTTTGAGGCGCCTCATAATGTGAGGCAACACACATCCATCCTTTTGAGGCGCCTCATAATGTGAGGCAAGACACATCCATCCACCCATACTGACTTCCTCGTACCAACCCCTCCCCACGGAGACCGCTCACCGTCGTTGAGAATGCCCGCCAGCTCGTCAAGAAAGCTCCTGTCTTCGCCTATCCGCTGCCTGCCCACCTCCGCCTCCTCCTCCCCTCCTCCCTCCCACACCGCCCTCCACTCCATCGCCTCTCCTCCCTCCCGCCACCTCCCCTCTGCCATCCCCCCCTGCTCTTCCACGCCCACAGCTCTGTCTCCTTGCTCCACCGCCCCTGCTCCGTTGCCCTTTTCCTCCTCGCGCCCCGTGCGCGCAGCAGCAGGGGCGGGCAGAGAGGCGGAGGAGAGGGGGCGCGCACAGCGAGGGGAAGGACTGGCGGCCTGGCGGGGTGGCGGGGAGGGGGAAAGGAGTGGAAAGCGAGGAGGGAGGAGGATGGGGAATGCATGGTAGAGGGTAGAGGGTGGGGAGAGGAGGATGCAGTAGGGAGGATGAGAGAATGTGGAGGAGAAATGAAGAAACGTGCACCCTGTGGTGAGATGGCAGACGGCAATGCAGGAGGGCATGCCTGGGTTGAAATGGTCACCTCACACATGCCATGCCATGCATTGCAGGTGCAGGCAAGGGTGGGTGCTCACAGGGCATTGCAGGTGCAGGCGAGGGTGGGTGCTCACAGGGCATTGCAGGTGCAGGCAAGGGTGGGTGCTCACAGGGCATTGCAGGTGCAGGCGAGGGTGGGTGCTCACAGGGCATTGCAGGTGCAGGCGAGGGTGGGTGCTCACAGGGCATTGCAGGTGCAGGCGAGGGTGGGTGCTCACAGGGCATTGCAGGTGCAGGCAAGGGTGGGTGCTCACAGGGCATTGCAGGTGCAGGCGAGGGTGGGTGCTCACAGGGCATTGCAGGTGCAGGCGAGGGTGGGTGCTCACAGGGCATTGCAGGTGCAGCAGCATGACGTCGCTGCACGGCTGCTCGTCGCGCCCACAGCTGCGGGGAGAGCACAGCGCAGGCATGGGAAGGATGAGAGCACAGCGCAGGCATGGGAAGGATGAGAGCACAGCGCAGGCATGGGAAGGATGAGAGGAGAGGATGGGCGTGGGGAGGGTGGGAGGCGGGAACGGGCATGGAGTGTGAAGGCAAGAAGATCACAGTGAGCACAGCACTCCATCAATTTCCTCCCTACTTTCCATTCCCTGCTTCTCCCCAATCCCCCCTTCCCCCTTCCCCCTCCCCCCTTCCTCCTCCCCCCTCCCCCCTTCCCCACTCCCCTCCGCCCCGCGTCCAGCTTACCCGCCAAAGAGTGCGACGGTGCAGCCGTCGGGCAGCAGGGTGGCCGAGTGGGAGAAGCACGCCCGCAGCTGCTGCCCGTCCTCCTCCCCCGCAGCCCATGCCTCCGCTGCTGCTGCCGACGCTTCCTCTGCTTCCAGGTGCTCCACCATCGAATTGTCCGATGCCAGCATGGCAGGACCGGCTGTTATTGGTGGATGCAGCTGGTGCCACGTGGCAGAGGGCAGGTCAAAGAGCCACGTGTCACTGAAGTAGCCACCGTCGCCCACCCCTCCCAGCAGCAGCATCTGCACGGGCAGAGGAGAGGCGGACGGAAGGGAGAGACACATGCAAGGTGGGGGACATGCAAGGTGGGGGACATGCAAGGTGGGGGACATGCAAGGTGGGGGACATGCAAGGTGGGGGACATGCAAGGTGGGGGACATGCAAGGTGGGGGACATGCAAGGTGGGGGACATGCAAGGTGGGGGACATGCAAGGTGGGGGACATGCAAGGTGGGGGACATGCAAGGTGGGGGACATGCAAGGTGGGGGACATGCAAGGTGGGGGACATGCAAGGTGGGGGACATGCAAGGTGGGGGACATGCAAGGTGGGGGACATGCAAGGTGGGGGACATGCAAGGTGGGGGACATGCAAGGTGGGGGACATGCAAGGTGGGGGACATGCAAGGTGGGGGACATGCAAGGTGGGGGACATGCAAGGTGGGGGACATGCAAGGTGGGGGACATGCAAGGTGGGGGACATGCAAGGTGGGGGACATGCAAGGTGGGGGACATGCAAGGTGGGGGACATGCAAGGTGGGGGACATGCAAGGTGGGGGACATGCAAGGTGGGGGACATGCAAGGTGGGGGACATGCAAGGTGGGGGACATGCAAGGTGGGGGACATGCAAGGTGGGGGACATGCAAGGTGGGGGACATGCAAGGTGGGGGACATGCAAGGTGGGGGACATGCAAGGTGGGGGACATGCAAGGTGGGGGACATGCAAGGTGGGGGACATGCAAGGTGGGGGACATGCAAGGTGGGGGACATGCAAGGTGGGGGACATGCAAGGTGGGGGACATGCAAGGTGGGGACATGCAAGGTGGGGGACATGCAAGGTGGGGGACATGCAAGGTGGGGGACATGCAAGGTGGGGGACATGCAAGGTGGGGGACATGCAAGGTGGGGGACATGCAAGGTGGGGGACATGCAAGGTGGGGGAGAAGAGAAGAGGAGAGAAGAAAAGAGGAGAGAAGAGAAGCGGAGAGAAGAGAAGAGGAGAGGAGAGATAAGTAGGGATGCTTGGGTTGGGTGGACTCGTCATGGTACGGTTCATGGCGGCCTCACCCGCTTGGGCTGGCGCATGCCACATGTGGCGCAGTGGATGGGCAAGAAGCGTGTGTGGCTAGCGTATGTGCCACTTGTTGCCCACAACACACCGTACCCACCTGCCAGGCTGTGACGGCCACCGCACTGTGGGCTGCCCGTGGCGCCGGCCACTGCGCTCCCGCCGGTGCTGGTATCTGCAAGGGAGAGAGTGCATGCGGGGGAGGGAGTGCATGCGGGGGAGGGAGTGCATGCGGGGGAGGGAGTGCATAGAAGGTGGGGGAAGAGAGAAAGGTGTTGGGGGTGTTTGTGCGGGCGTTTGGAGAATAGAATGAAGTCCAAAATAGTAAGCAGAGCATCAGCAGAACTCTCCTCATACTAACCCCTCAATCTCCGCCTTTATTCCTCCGGCCCACAGCTACCCCCACGTATACCACCCCCACCCCACCACTGATATGCTCCACGGGTAACCTCTCACAGCACACCCCCCCACCCCACAGCACACCCCCCCACCCCACAGCACACCCCCTCACAGCACACCCCCTCACACCCGTTGCCCAATGGGTACGCACGTGGCACCAGGAGAGGTGGTGGACGTGCAGCAGGTGCAGGTCGCCGAGGTAGCGCGCGCCACAGTCGCCGCCGAACACCACCGCCACCTGCTGCTCGTGCGCCCCGCCCATCACCACCATGCTGTGGCTGTCGCGCGCACAGGGGGGGCACTCCCCTGCCTTGCCACGTGGCACGCGGGTGGCGGGCGGCAGTGAGTGCGGTGCATGGAGGCAGCGCCACGTCATGGAGGGCACGTCCAGCGCCCACAGGTCGTTCAGGTACCGCCCCTTGCCGCCCCCCTCGCTCATGCTGCCTCCCTCTCCTCCCCCGTCTCTCTGCTCCCCTCCCCTCCACCCGTCCATGCCTTCCTTACCATCCGCACCATCGCCGCCCTCCTCATCCCCACTGCCGCCAAACACCAGCACAGTCTCTCGCCACTCCACCGCATCCCCTCCTCCTTCCTCCTCCACCCTCTTACACCGTGGCAGCCACACAACCGCTGCCGCGTGGCTCTCCCTGGCAGGGGGGTGCGCAGCAGCAAGCGCGCTCGGATCATGCCACGAGCCAGGCTGCACGGGACCCACCCGCCCGCAAGGTGTGCCCAGGCTGCTGCCATGCATGTCCGTGTCGCCGCCACTGCCCTGCCTCGTGCCCCACACCAGCCCCTCGCCCCCCTCCCCTTCACCTCCGTGCCGCACCACCACGCTGCTGCTCGACACGTGCGACCCGTCGCTGCCCCGCCTCTCCACCTGCCGCCTCCTTCCCTCTGCCCCCCTCCCCCCCTGCCTCGCTGTCACCCCCGCCTCGTCCACGCAGCTCACACCACTCTCCACCTCCCCAGCCCCCTGCTGCCCTCTCTCGCCGCCTTCTCGCACCTCACTCCTCTCCACTCCCCCCTCCTCGATCGCACCACCCACCTCACTCACACTCCCACCCAGCACACAGCGCGCACTCCTCTCCCCTGCCGCCCCTCCCCCCACGCGTTGCCACCGCTTGGAGGGCAGGTGCAGCAGGTGCGTGGCGGCGAGGCGGCGGCGGCCGTCGGTGCCGCCGAAGACGAGCATGCGGCCGCGGGAGAGCAGCGAGGCGGAGTGGCAGTCGCAGGGCGGCGGCAGATGGCCGTGCGCCGACAGGGGCGCCCAGGCGAGCGTGGTGAGGTCGAGCGACAGCACGGTGGAGAAGTGCTGCGCTCCGAAACAGCCCTGCAGGCGCGCGCAGGGGAGGGGCGAGAAGGGAGGGGCCTTAGAAGGATAGAGATTGGGAGGGTGCGTTGGGCGCACGGAACGGAAGCAGCAGGTCCACACGGCATGGGTGTGGCGTCAACTGCGCATCGTCGCCACGCTACCACCCATCCCTCCCTCACTCTCACTTTGGGCCACCGAAACCCCTTTCACTCAAGCCTACCCGTCTCACCCGGACGGACCTACGCCCTGCACGTCAGCGCGCACACCTCAACGCACGCAGCGGCGGCAACACATGCTGCCACGGCAAACTCTCCACTGCCACTGCAGCACGGCTTCTCACCTCCACTCGCCCGCGTGCCTCCGCTCACCCCGAACACGATCAGCTTGCCATCCCACGCCACGGCGGAGTGCCCCCATCGCTCCTGCGGCCGCGCCCCCGCCACCGCCGCCTCGCGCCATCGCGCGCGCCACCGCCACCGCCGCTCGCCCGCGCGCCGCCCGCCTGCCCCCTCACTCTCGTGCCCGCCATCTTCGATGGCACGAAGCGGGCGGCAGAGGGCGGATGTGGACGGGGGACTGTCGGGCGACATGTCGTTGGCGCGCGACCGATGCGACTAGGCCACGCCGCATGCGGCACGAGCGTGGTGCGAGCGAGAGAAGGGAGGAGAGGGGAACGAGTGGTGCTGGAACGGAGAAGAAATGAGGAAAGCAGCAACTTGGCGTCAGCGAAACAATGATATCGGCTGTCTCTGCCACAATATCTGCTGCCGTGTGGGCAGTGGCCCTGCGAACGGCGACGCGGGAGGAGCATAAGAGCGGTTTGAGCCATCGCGATGGCGGCGTATCCAAACCGGTGGAGCAGGCCAGGCAGCGAATGAGAGCCTGGCAGGTGGCGGTTCCGACACGCGTGCAAGCAGGCGGTGAGACGATCGTCCCTAGAATATGACGTGACCAGTGACAGGCAGCAGACGCTAGTGTCATGGGAAAACGCTCTGGTCATTTCGCCTCGAATTTCGCGACTTGATGGGATGGATGGCACTTGATTTGAAGCGATTTCAAAACGTGTGTGGAAATGACGTAAGCTGTAACCTTTTTCATAGAAGAACAACTCACCTTTTTTTGTGATGAGTGTGATGTGAGGGTTTCACAAACTAGCTCGAAACTGTTGGGAACAATAAGTCTTAAAGCGCCTCTGTCGTGTCGAAACTCAGGACACAAGCGAAGCAGTCCAAATCGAAGCATCGCGAGTCAACCCTCGGAGGTTAGGGTAACCGCCTGGAGGTTACGCGAAGGTCAAAAGTCAGCGACCTTTGACTTGACAAAATACAGCGCGACAGCAAGGACACACAACTGACTCGACATTGAGCAGTTGCCCGAGTCGCACTGTATCGAATCGCAACAGCAAAACAGTTTAATTATATCTATTCGTATTCCTTGTACTCTTATATAAAGCCTTGTATTTGCTTGTTTTAAGCAACTTACTTTGCCCTCACATACTAGCGCAAGGTGGTTCAAGGACTTTATTCAAACGCTTCCGCTATTACAATCCTACTCAGACTTTAACTCTACAAAGATCCTAAGGCATCTCAGCCCAACATGGTATGAGAACAGATAGAGTTCAAAGTTACTTTTTCTCTTAATACTTAATACAAGGAAGACATGTCTACTAGGAAGGAGAGGAGCTCCTCCAACGGTTCTCCAGGCACTACCCCTACTCCACCTCCTGTCTCTGGTCTACAGACGGAAGAAGGGACTACCACGAGACCAGCAGCTGGGTCTACGGAAACGCCCGCAGGCTTCGATCCAAGCATGATGGAGAAATTCTTCTCCTTCATGTCCTTCTACGAGCAGCACCAGCAAGGAGTACCTGCGCAGTCAAACAACAGCAACAACAACAACGTAACTCCTATGAGTCTCGACGGCTCATCCTACGCACGCGGAATTCAACAACAACAACAGCAGCCTACCTTTGCGCCGTACGAGCCCCAGCGTGGCTCCGTCAGCTTCATGCCGCAACCGCAATCTGCACCGGGACAAGAAAGGGCATTGGACGCATTACAAGTTCAATCGCAATTCGCGCATGTTCTCAAGCTGCAAACGACAAAGCCCTTCGACGGAAAAGACTTCTTCACCTGGTCGTTCGAGTTCGAACTGATGATGGAAGGAGCACAGATTCTCAGCTTCTTCGACGGGTCCCTGCCATATCCAACAAACGGGACACAATATGAGAAGCAGCAGTACACCTATCAATCAATGATGGCGTACACGATACTGCTAAGAAACATCACCCCGACCCAGCAGCAGAACATCAGGACTTACCGAGGCTACGGCAACTCCGCGGAGCTCGCGTACAACCACCTGAAGAACCTGTATCAAGCAACAGACAGCGTAAATCAAAGCAGGTTAATGGCGCAGTTGACAACAATTGAAATGAAACCAGGCGAGAAAGGCATGGCTTATATCAGCCGCTGCCGCGAACTACGCGACAAGCTTCTTCGATGCGGAGGGTCGATTTCAGAAGACGCCTTTGTCACGGTGGTCATCGGCGGTCTCGGCCCCCACTGGCGCTCCACTCGCGCCATATTACGAGCACACGGGAGGATTTTCGAAGCGGCACTCTGCGCCGAAATACATGCCGAGCAGCAGGACATGGACCTGCAAGAAGAACGACATAAGAAGAAAACGTCAGTACCAGAGTTCGCGTTTCACACCCAGTGACGCTACAACAACAACAACAATCGGCAGCAACAACAATTGAAGCCAGTACCTCCGTTTTGCCACATCTGCAAGACTTCAGGGCATCCTCGTACGCACTGCCCGCATCGTCAGCAATCGACAACATCACAGCGACAACTTCGGCCTTCAAGCTCCCAAGTCACTTCAACGCAAGTAAATCCCACGACAAAGATTCAAGCCTCAACGACTCCAACAGGACAACCTGCACAAGGAGCAAGAAACATTTTCAACTGTATGCCAAAGATAACAGATTCCTGTATCATCGAGTCACCACCTCACTACTCACCAGAAGAAGAGCTCGACAACAGGACGCCTCGCCGCGAGTCACTCCAACCGAATCCGACGTACGCCGCCATCGCTCAAAGCGAACCGTCAGGGCAAGACACCTGGTTCTTGGACAGTTGCTGCGGACAACATATGTGCTCCTCGGGACGCTTCGTTCAACGCGAACATCGACTCCAGCGAGAAGTAGTCATCACGGTCGCCAACAACCAGAACCTGTGCACACGACGACAAGGAGTAGTTCAACTTCAATCAAGAGAGACAAACGTCATACTGCACATGTCAAAGGTACTCATCGCAGAAGGACTCGGTTATAACTTACTGAGTGTCAGCCAGCTGAAGGCGAAAGGCATCCACTTGGAAGCCGACAGCACCACCCAGGAGTTTAAACTGTACCACGGGAAGGGCGGCCTCTACATCGGAAGAGCAGTTTTGAAGAACAATGTCTTCGTCCTCGATTTCGTCCCCGACCTTGGCACTGCAGATAGCGACGCCATCGTCAACTTCGCCGATTGGACACATCCCCTGGATCTTGATCCCGACTTCAGCCCGGGAGGTTTCTGGTACTCGCACACCATCCCTAAAGCAGAACGAACACGAGCGTTAGAAACAATTCAACAAACGGCAGTAGCAGAGACAACATCGACAGCAGCACAGACAACATCGGCAGCAGCAGAGACAACATCGGCAGCAGCAGAGACAACATCGACAGCAGCAGAAACATCATCGGCAGCAGCAGGACCAACGACACCAGTCATCGTCCACGAAGCACCACCAACACCCGCACAGCAACTGAACCCGACTCAACGAGAACTCCACAGAAGCGCCAATGTCGTCGCCAGCTTCTACTCCAACTCCGACGCGTATCAACGCTCACCCGGACATCGCGCTCCTGAAGACATCTGGCACGCACGCACAGGACATCCAAGCAACACAGTATTAAATAACACAATACGAGCAGGAGTCCTCGACAAAGATTCGCTACTACTACCCGACGGCAGAGAACTTCAACGGGCACGAGGAACTTGCCTCATCTGCCCCAAAGCCGACTTACCCCATCGACCGTTTTCTTCTCACCACAACCCGAGCGCACCTGCATACGCACCACTCGAGAAGGTGTACAGCGATATTCTCTTTAATCGAGAACCAGGACAAGTTACTTACAACTACACGATCACCTTTATCAACGCCGCCACTCGATGAGAAAGTTAGAACAAGAATGAAATGACTATGAACAAAGTGAGTACAAATAGGAAACCCTAGTTGGGCTGTACCCCCTATGGGATACCCCACTATAGCCTACACAAATAAGTGAGCTATAATATTCTGACACACCCCCATAGGCAAAGTGGGGGAGAACAAGGGGTCACAAGACCAGTCAAGCAAAGCAAAGCAAAGCTCAGGGTGGATCACAAAGTCACCACACATTCCGAGCACAAGTTCAAGGGCCACAAGGCCAGTTCACATGCAAGAGCATGTATAGAGATATACAAGAGTCAAGCAAGCAAGAACAAGAGTATATATAGGTCAAGGTACAAGCAAGGTCAAGAAGTGAGCAAGTGAGGCAAGACACGCACAAGACCCAGCTGCGTGCAGCAACGCTGATGATCACAAGGCGCAAGTGCCTTGGTGAAGACATCAGCAGTGTTGGCCTCAGAGGCCACGTACGCAAGTCGCAACTGTCCACGCTGCTGTAGCTCACGAGCAAGAAAGTAGCGGAGAGCAATGTGCTTTGTCCTGTGCTCCAGTCGCTGCTCTCAACACAAGGCCAGCATGGCCTTGTTGTCTACGTACAGGACTGGAGGAGAACGAGGCGGCTCTCCAAGGTCGGTCAGCAGGTAGGTGAGCCAGCGAAGCTCCTGAGCAGCCATAGCCCCGGCGTAGATCTCAGCCTCACAACTGGAGCCGAGAACAGAAGACGAGCGGGTAGCCCGCCACGAAACAGAGCCGGAACCAAGGCTGAAGGTGTAACCCTGTGACGACCGCTGCGTAGCCTGGTCGTCAGCCCAAGAAGCGTCCGCGTGCCCAGTGAGGACCACTGGACTCCGCCCTCCAAGCACTAGCCCCATGCCCAACGTACTGCACAAGTAGCGCAACACCCTCTTCGCTGCAGCCATGTGCTCTGGTCGGTGTCTCCCAGGAGCAACATATCGTGCGAGAATGCTCAGAGGGTATGCAAGGTCAGGTCGTGTGCAGGTCATCAGGTACATGAGGCAGCCAACAAGCTCTGCATACGGACCACTCGACTCTACGGACTCATCCGAAGGCAGAGCTGAGAGCGAGTGGCGAGTAGGCAGAGGAGTGGCCTGAGGCGAGGAGTACGTGAAGCCGAAGCGCTGAAGGACCTGCTGCACCATGTGTGACTGAGTCAGGGTAATGGTGCGGCGTGCTCTGTCCCGGGTGATCTGCAAACCAAGGTAGCTGCGCAGTTCACCCAGGTCAGTGCACGTGTGTCTCTTCTGCAGCTCGGACTTCACGTAGGCGAGTCTAGCAGTGTCAGCTGTGGCAAAGACCAAGTCGTCGACGTACACGAGGATGTAGAACGGCGGCAGAGAAGTGTCGGTGCGCAGAA